CTTTCCATTGATGTATGGTTTGTTAGGATAGGACAATATTTGGCTGAGATACAACTATTTGAAAATCTGGAATCTGAGGGTGCAAAAAAATCTAAATATTGAGAAAATCATCTTTAAAGTTGTTCAAATGAAGTTCTTAGCAATGCATATTACTAATCAAAAATTAAGTTTTGATATATTTACGGTAGGAAATTTACAAAATATCTTCATGGAACATGATCTTTACTTAATATCCTAATGATTTTTGGCATAAAAGAAAAATCGATAATTTTGACCCATACAATGTATTGTTGGCTATTGCTACAAATATACCCCAGCGACTTAACACTGCTTTTTTGCTCCAGGGTCACATTTGAGAAACATATTGCAAAACATTGTGAAATGCCTTAAGGGTCAGAGAGAATGGAAATGGTAACTAAAAACTGAAATGGACCTTTTACGGCTGACTGACATTACAAATGGCCTTAATTAATAACACTACAGAACTGTTAAAGTGATTGGTTTGGCGCCTTTACTGCAGTTTTTAATCTCAGATTGCATGTTTTTTTTAATCCTAAAATCACATATATTCTACAGCACGGATGAAGATCTGTGGTTTGATTGGTGGCGAGCAGACGAGCCTCATTTGCATTGCTAAACAAACAGCGTACAGGTGAATGTCAGTAACGATCTTTGATAACCGCAGCCATGCTGACCTTTCGCCGCAAACAAAATATACGCTGCACAATCAGATGGAGTGCTTTGTGGGATTGGCTGTGCTGATGTCACTGAAGGTCAAACAAGCTCAGATGAAAGCACTCATCTTTATGAACATCAACCTGAGGAGGTACTGTAAAAAAAAAAAAAAACGTTTTCAAAAGGTTTCTGTGTACTTTAAAATATGTTCCTTCATCTAGAATCTGAAAATATATATTTTATTCATATTAAAGTACATTTTCTACATGTTACACACACGAATAAATAAATAAATATGTATGTATGTATGTATGTATGTATATTAAAACCCAGTACAAATCTGATCAAGTTTTACATTTACTCAAAAATATTAACTAGTAGAATGCAGTTCATTTGTGAAATGATGATCAGCTGATCTTATTAATAGTCACCTTGTTTTCGGATCTCTGTTCTCAGACAGCGAGATGAACCTTCAATGTCCTTCACCGATCATCATTTCAAGTGTGGTTTGGACGTGACAGACAGCGATGATATCTGAGCGGGTGAGTTGTTTGTTTACTTTTTAATTAGTCTGTCAATTCCACGTAAATACACGGAAAGAGGAGTCTTTCCCTCTTCAAAGTAAAAAAAAACTTTATTGTCAATTCTTCCACATGTACAGTACATACATACAGAGAATTGAAACTGCGTTACTCTCAGACCCTTGGTGTATACAGATAACACTAACAGTAGAGCATAAAAATACAGATAGATACAGATTAAATATAAAATACAACTATACAAATATACAATAAGGACATGTAAAAAAATTAAAAGTTAAATAAAGCAGCACAAGGCACATGGCAGATAGAGTGCAAACCAGTGAAGTAAACAAACAATGCAGATAAAATGACTGCAGTGCAAAGAGCTTATTCAGTCTGGTTAAAGTGACAAAAAGCTCAGAGAGCAGTTATTTATTTAAACTGACTGAAGAGGTAGTTGAATGAGATCAGTTCAATGCTGAATGAGGTAGTGAGCAGACCAATGCTGCACAAGGTGCTGGCGGGGGGGGGCAAAAGAGGGGAGGGGGTTCAGAGTTCAGTGGTGCCTGGGGCAAAAGAGGGGAGGGGTGTTCAGAGAATCTCCTTCGTCTTCTCCACATTCAGAGAGAGATTGTTGTCACTGCACCACCCGGCCAGGCGGCTCACCTCGCTCCTGTAGTTTGTCTCATCTCTGTTGCTAATGAGACCCACCACAGTCGTGTCATCCGCAAACTTAATGAAGAGGTTGGAGTTGTGTGACGGTGTGCACTCTTCATCGATCACTTCATCAAAATCACAACTCTGTTGCCTTTCATGAATGAATCTGTGTTTAATTCATTAGTTGAATGAATGATTCAATGATAAACTCGTTTGTTGCGTTCCTGAGTGAATCAGTGTTTTTAAATGAATTGTTTGAGTGAGTGATTCTATGACTCATTCATAAATACAGTCACTTAGTTCCTGATGGAGTCTGTGTATATTAATGAATTGGTTGAGTGAACAATTCAGTGATTCACTTAAAGACAGCTGCTGAATTCAGAACGGCATACAAGTTTACTACTCTTACTATTTTTAGCATATATTTCTATGGCAAAAATAGTAATATTACGCTAATATGCGGTTCCTAATTAAGCATGCAACTTGTTTATTTCCCCACTGAATTAGTGTTTTTAAACGAATCGGTTGAATGAATGAACAGATCAATGTCTCATAAAGACTGTCGTGTTGCACCACCTATTGGTCTGTCAATGTAACTTGCTTAATTCAATGACTCACTCATAAAGACAGAGACTTGTTTTGTTTTTGAATGAATCAGTGTGTTAAATTAATCGTTTGAGCAAATGGTTCTATGGCCCATTCATAAATGTTCACTTCCTGATACAATCTGTGTACAATGGATGAATTGGAGTCAAAGATTCAGTGATTCTCCCAAAGACAGCCACTTGTTTCTTTCCCGAATGAATAAGTGTTTTAAAATGAATCTGTTGAATAAATGAACAGAAGATCAGTGACTCATAAAGTATGTCATGTTGCGCCACCTACTGGTGTCTTGATGTAACGCTGAATTCAGTGAGTCACTTATAAAGTCGTCCACTTGTTTAATTCCTGAATGAAACAGTTTTTTAAATGAATCATTTGAATGAGTGATTCTATGACTCACTCATAAAAACAAACATTCACTTAGCTCCTGAAGGAATCTGTTTCAATTAATAAATTGGTTGAGTGAACGATTCAGTGATTCACTCAAAGACATCCACTTGTTTCTTTCTGGAATGAATTGGTGTTTTTAAACAAATCAGTTGAACGAATCAACAGAAGATCAATGACTCCTGAAGCATGTCATGTTGCGCCACCTACTGGTGTATCAGTGTAACTTGCTTAATTCAATGACTCGCTCATAAAGACATCGACTTGTTTCGTACATGTTTTTGACTGAATCAGTTGAATGAATGAACGAATCAATGACTCATAAAGACTGTCATGTTACGCCACCTACTGGTGTATCAATGTAACTTGCTTAATTCAATGACTTGCTCATAAAGACATCGACTTGTTTCATTCTTGAATTAATCAGTGTTTTTAAACTAATTGAAGTGAATGATTCTATGACTCATTCATAAACACATTCACTTAGTTCATGAAGGAATCTGTTTGTATGAACAAATTGGTTGAGTGAGCGATTCAGTGATTCGCTTAAAGACGGCCGCTTGTTTCATTCACAGATGAATTACCTTATTTAAATGAATCGGTTGAATGAATGAACAAACAATTCAATGACTCACTCATAAAGGCAGCCACTTGTTTCATACCCGTTTTTGACTAAATCGGTTGAATGAATGAACGAATCAATGACTCAAAGGCTGTCGTGTTGCGCCACCTACTGGTGTATCGATGTAACTTGCTTAATTGAATGACTCTCTCATAATGACATCAACTTGTTTCGTTCTTGAATGAATCATCATTTTTTTACTAATTGGAGTGAGTGATTCTATGACTCATTCATAAACGCATTCACTCCTGAAGGAATCTGTTTGTATGAACAAATTGGTTGAGTGAACGATTCAATGACTCACTCATAAAGGCAGCCACTTGTTTCGTACATGTTTTTGACTGAATCAGTTGAATGAATGAACGAATCAATGACTCAAAGGCTGTCATGTTGCGCCAACTACTGGTGTAACGATGTAACTTGCAGAGAAAGTCAGCCTTGCAGGCTCTTCATTCCGTTTTTACTTGACATCAGACACTGTGAAAAACAAACACACATAGTTTTATCCCATTTCTTCTTGACTGTAGCACATCATAGCCCACTGTCTCTCCTATAAAGCATGGTGCATGTTAAAGAATGAAAAGAAAACCAATAGCTGTGCTGTTTTTGAATAGACTAGGACAGCAGGCAGATGGTTAAATGTATTTCGGGCTCAAGGCAGACTCACAGACATGTAAGTGGTTTTTGTAGAGTTATACAGTAGAGACGCTGACTGTCTGGAGCCTTATGAGACAAGCGTTGATTCCCTTTGTTCAGAGTCCACAATTCTGATCATTCTCTCTCTTACATGCACACAATCTCATTTCTTAATTTCCCTGAGCTGTCCATCACCGCATGCCAGGCTTTGATTAATATCTAATGATATTTTCTAAATTTTCTACAGGAAATGCGAATATCTAGTTGGCGCCGTCTCTCCTTAAATAACGGAAATGAAATCTAATTTCTGAAGATGAAACACTTTTATATTCATACGTTCTCATTTAACCGATGCAATCTAATTTGACTAGGTTTCTATGTCACTGAGCAAATATGAAATCCATGCGTCAGCTGAAATGCAAAAGGAATCGAAAGTATATATCAAAACAGCAGGAAAATGACGAATCAAGGCCAGTATTCCAGTGAATAGCTCTTCGTCTCTCTCTCTCTCAGACAGCAGGCGTCAGTCATCACTGCGTCTCGTTATAGCTCGCAGATTTCCCGTGGAAAACGAATTAATGCACTAATATGGCAACAATCTGCGCTAATAGTCCTTGCTGAGTCTCCTGTTTACATGTGCTTAGCGCAGACTAACGCCTTTTTAATCGAATTGAACTGCTCCGTTAGATTAGAGAACAACCGGTGGTCTTCATGATGACCTTACAGGCGATTGCAAACTAGCCAGTGCCTATAGTTGAAGTTTACCTGGTAATACTAGCCTAGTTGACTAGTTTCATCCTCCGGCTGGTCCTGATAGACTAAATAGGACAGAAAAAAACACAAATGGGAGCTTTACATCATTAACACCAGCATTTTCAGCATTAACATGATCAGTACTTACCTGAAAATATATGACCTACATGTTATCTGCCCCCTAGTGGATTATACATGATCTTTAGGAAGTTGTTATTTTCAAAATGTCTGTCTCTGTGTTGTTTCATGTATTTTTGCTTGAAAACCCTTGTCGATTTTGATAGCAAGATGGCAAGTTTTTTTTATTGTTATTGATATTTTAAAATGAATATTTTGATGATTTAAAGCTTATTTCTACTTAATATTTCACACATTATAGAAAAATTGTGGAAAATATCTAACAAATACAATACAGCAGATATATTTACTGTAGTAACATTTAACGATGTAATATGTCCACCACAATAAACGTAATCATTGAATCAGTTAATTATTAAAGTAAATTAATAAAAACATTATTTTACTAAATATATAGCCTATTAGTAAAATATATATTTAGAGTGAGAACTGGTGTATTTTAGGAGCTTTTAAAATTTTCACATGTAATAAATATAACATTGTCTAAAACCAAAATGCAAAATATAAAACTACACTGTAAAAAAAATTCTTAGTTGTAAATAAATATTATTGGAGTATGTTTTACAAGAAAGTATTATTTCAGTTTTTCTATGTCAAAATTTCACTTAATTCAATGTGTTGCTGTTTTTTTTTAATTGTTTGTGAAATTAATTTCCAATTTCTGAGTGAAAGTTCATTATTTTCAGTGTATATAAAAATAAATAAACTAAAACTAGAATTTACTGAACAACAAAAACTAAACTGAAAATAGCAAACATCTTGAAAACAAACTAAATTAGGAATATGAAAATAAAACTAGAGTTAAACCTAAACTTAAAGTAGACATATTATGCCCCTTTTTACAATATGTAATATAAGTCTCAGGTGTCCGCAGAATGCGTCTGTGAAGTCTCAGCTCAAAATACCCCAGATATCATTTATTATATCATTTTGAAAATGCCTATTTTGACTGGAAGCAGAAACACGCTGTTTTTCAGGCCTGTCTCTTTAAATGCAAATGAGCTGCTGCTCCCCGCCCCCTTTTCCAGAATAGAGCTGCACCTTTACAGCTCGTACCTGCTAAAAACATCTGTTTTGGTTCTGATTATCATGTTTATCGCACTGAAATCATGCGTTTTAAACCATATGAGTTTAAACTTCTGATATAAGG